TAGCCACACCCCAAACCCTAACCACACCATCACTAATGCAATTATCAGAATCTGATAAAAAATCTATCATGGACGACATACAACGATTACTCAGTCAAGTTCTACATTGGCTCGATGTCATTGAGGATAGAACCTAGGGCAGGATCACTGTCGACCGTAATAGTAAAATCCGTGCAGGAGAGCAAGGAGAACATATGAATCTCTTTTGTAGGGTGACTTCAATGGATAGGAGGATCAACCAGAATGATTTAGGATTCAATATCAGAGGAGGATGATAGAGGAGATGCATGTTGGACAATACAAAGATGTGGTGTATTTTGGAAGGTGCATAGATGAGATGCTTTTTGGAAGATATAGAGATAAACTACCTATTGGAGGATACAAAGATCTGAGGATGAAGGTGGATCTACTAGACTTTGAGGGGAGAATGGATCCAGACAATTTCTTCAAGTGCATGCAGATTGTCGAGCCAATTTTTGAATACAAGGAGATGCCCGATGACAGAAAAGTGAAGAACACTGCCATCAAGCTGAAGAAAATGTTCTTTGTGGTGGGAGAACCCGAAGATGGAGAAACAGAGAGGATGAGATAGAATCATTTCTTGGGAGAAAATGAAAAAGGTGGAGTAGCGACAGTACCTACCTCTACACTACCACCATGATATATTGTTGAAGCTCTACTACATGCAATAGATAGAGCCATTAGTAGAAGAGTACACGACAGACTATTGCAACTTAACTTGAAGTATGAGCTGAAGGAGCAAGAAGATAACGCCATAGCTAGGTATTTGGGAGGCTTGAAAACCACCATCAGTAATATATTCCAACCACAATCCTATTGAACATTGAGAAACATGCAAACCTTAGCACTAAAAGTGGACAGACAACAAAATCAGAGTAGACAACCACTACTAGTGAAACAATCACCCATAGTGGGAGACATCAGGAGGAGCATGCCTTAGGGAGTGGACTAGACTTGTCAGGAATAGAAAAGAGCCACTCTAAATGAAGAGAAACTTCTCAGCTAGAAAATGTTTAAGATGTCATGGTTTTGGACACATTACTTCTGATTTTCTTGACAAGCCAAGTTGTGTCATACAAAGAATAGGGGGCGATCAAGGAAGCTGGCGATGAGGAAGAAACTAAAGAAAAGGGTGATGAGTAGAAACTTCCAACATATGAGGGAGAGATGATTGTGGTTTGACTAGTCCTTCAGATAGAGGTGTTGAGGGAGCAACAATGGTTTTTTAAGAATATGTACTGCACTCATTGCATCATAAAAGGAAATATATGCAGCATCATCATCATCGATGAAGTTAGCAACAAGAATGTGATTTTAACACTATGATGGACAAATTGAACATCACGACTTAGAGACATCCCTAACCATATTACCTGACATGGTAGAAAAGGGAGAACATGATCGACATTGACAAGAGGTGTCTCTTGGAATATTGATTGAGAGACAACTACAAAATCATGTTTAGTGTGATGTGGTGCCCATGGATGTCCACCGTCATTTATTAAGAAAATTGTGGCAATATGATTATGAGACTTAACATGATGGTTACATGAACATCTACTCATTCATCAAAAAAGGCAAGTGCATGGTCCTTCCACCTTTTGAAGAGTATAAGACTATAAGTGTCAGTGCCAACAGAGAAGCATCGAAAGGATTAGTGCTAGTGATGATAGAGGACCGCGAAAGAGAAGAGCCGGTTGTAGATAGGACAACTAGTGCATAGAGAGTTTCAAAACATTATGTTCGCCAGCTTACCACCTTGTCCGCCACCATTCAGTCAGATTCAAATTATCATCACCTTAGATCGTGTTGAACCAACTTGGGGCTACTTTTGGAGAATTCGATAGAATGCACTATGCCTGGAATTCCTATTCAACTCAACACTGTACCCCCAGATGGTTGGACTAAAATGAATGTTTTTTTTTTAAGTGGAAAAAACTCCTCAAGTGCTTTTGAGGACAGTGTAATCCCCAATAGGATCCAGCTGCTCCTCGGACCACAATCGAAGACCCCTCAATTCTGAGAGATTAGAATAACTTTACTAACTTAAATGCGGCAGATTTGACTTCGTACTATGAGGAAATACCTGCTTTTACAGATGATGTCGAAGCTCCCATAATCCTAAGAGATTGACGTGGGGCATTTTGCCAAGCTCGACAAAAAATTACAATGGAAAAAACTAGACCGGTTTGGTCCAGGTACAGGAGAGATCAATTGATTATTCCAAGCTTGGGTTCCCTTCTATTGAGAGTGGGGCCCACTCATCTTTACCCTAAGCTTATATATATGTTGTTTGTTGTGTGTTCAGGTAGTCATATATGTGGCATCTAGTTTTCCTCTTCGAGATTGTGTCCGAAGGTTAGAAGATGTTTCAGTTGTAACTCGTCCCGAGGTAATGACTATTCTTCTCCAAACTGCTCCTCAGTTCCTCCCTCCAGCTGCCAATCTGCTTCTTTCACCTCCTACCAACCACCAAACTGGTTGTCCTCCTCTCCAACGGCCTACTCAACCCTCCCAATTGACCATCTTCCCTTCCCTGCCTTCCTCACAACCTCCCCCACCGACTATCCAGCTGTCAACGAGCTTCCAATCATGTCCCCGTTTCCACAGTCGCCATTTCTACCCTTCCCCCTTGCTACCCTCAACCCGACCAACCCTCACGCATCGTCCCCCAGTTGTCTACTTGTTGTGAAACCTCGAGAAAACCACTACCCTATTGTTTACATATATCAAATGTCTTTTCCAACCACACGTCATCTTTTAAACCCTCACCGATCAAGCATCCAGCCTTATTTAGTGTTTGTGTTGTGTTAGTTGTTGCTTTCCATTTTTAGTTGTTATGGTTATTTTCTATTCCACTTGGTTGTATGTAAGTTCACATTTGAGTTTGACTAATAATATTTATTTATTCTATTGTGATTTGAGTTAACTTCGGTATCATTAAAACAATTCCAAAAGGCATATTTCTTCAAACTTTCCAAAATCTTAAAGGGACCTCACCATCAAGTGGGTGAAAATTTGTGATTAAAAAGTAAGGGTTGATAACAGTCACATTAAATATTGAAAGTCCCCTCAATCAACAAACCCTAAAATAAAAGGCCAAATAAACCATCAATAAAGAAAATTTGAAAAAAAAAATCTAAATAGATTTTACAAAACTAAATAGAGCGAATCGAAATGAAAATTTGAGAAAGGTAAATGTAGGGTTCATACAATGCAAGTTAAGCTCGAGTTGCTCTACATCAGATCATAATTTTTTTTGTGATTGGTGCACGAACTTGAATGTGGGTCTATAAGGTGAAGGAAACACCTCTAACTACTGCATCACAGCTCAATTTGTATTTGAACATAAATTGGATTAATTAAAAAAAATAATCTTTGAACTTAAGCATAATCAAATGAGTGACAATTTTTCTTCCCCTGAAAATATGAGTGTAAATAAGACAAACTTGTAAATAACATCATAAAAATAATGAGAGTTCGAATGGGAATGAAAGTTAAATTTTTTAATGAATTCACACATGAGAACGAAAGTTAAATTTTATTCTAACATCACATATTTTTATTTCTATTTTTACTGTCGTGCTATGATGCGTTAAATAATGGACTTTCGGCTTTTTTTTAACAACTGATATTTATTTTTATTGTTCTATTTGAATTATTCTTGAAATTAACCATCAATAGTTTTCTAACAGCAACGGATCAACTGCTTATTCTAAAAGTAACTGATCATCCACTTATTCAATAAACTACAACTGTCCCAAACAGTTTGTAAGACAAGTCTCAACTTTTATTGTTTGTCTTATTAGGCTTAGCTCGTAAGTCACTGAGTCATTTACTTTTTAGCAAACTCAACTGAACCCTTGCTAAACAGAGCAAAATGAAGCACTCGAGAAGCTAAAAAACATGGAGGGAGGGATATAAAGTAGTTCCTCCTCCATTTCATATATATTTTAAGCAGGCTTAACGAACTACCCCCACTAGAAAGCAACAATTTAGATGGCTAAAGCCAGCGTTTTGCAGTAACTGGAACTGAAATGAATTCCAAAATATATAAATTTATAAAAATAGATTAAAGTGATTTCAATTTTTGTAACCCCGCTTGATGAGAAGTGAGATTCGCTTAT